CTGTCTCCTGAGTAGTTGGTTTACAGGCATGAGCCACCAGCACCCAGCTCTGATACTGGAGTTTGAACTCAAGACCTTGGGCTTGCTAGGCAGATACTCTACTACTCTAGCTATGCCCCCAGTCCAGTCTTTTATTTCCTTATGGATTTTCCTATACACTTGTTTTATCAATCCAAAAGGTACTGAAATTTCCAAATACAATTACAGATGTCTACTGTTTCCTATCTATCTTTTTCCACTGTGTGTTATAAAGCTTGCACCTTTAAAAATTCATTCATTCTGGTGCCCCAGAACGCAGGGTCTCACACATGCTAAGCAAGCATTCTCCCACTGAGTATATCACCAGTCCATGAAGCTTTTATTATTAGCTGTTTGAACACTTAGGATCATTATGTCCTCTTAAAGAACTGATTCCTTTATTACCTAACCTGCTGTTATTTGCGCTACCTATCTCATAGGTCTGTTATGGAAAAAGAACAAGAAAATATATAGGAAGCAGAAAGTAAAATGTTTGACAATAGAGGAAATTAAAAAATAACTTTAATCAATTTACTGAATTATCTGTAAGTTTATCTATGCTTGTCTCCAACTACTCATGTAAGTGAGGTTTACTATGTTTTATCAGATCTTTCTTTAGACATAATTTATTACTGTAAGATACTGAACAAATTAGCAGTATATTATCCTCTTCAACTCCCTGTGAGGTAAGTTAGTCTTACTGATTTAGGGATGAGAAACAAGGCACACAAAGTTCAAAGATCTGCTTCAGAAACAAAACTTCAGATTTCCCAGCTTGTTAGCTGACCTCTTTAGCACAGGGCATTTTATTCCGACATAATTATACCCGCTGGCTCAGATATAAACTTGCTTTATTCTAAGAAACAAAGATTATAATCGGCAAAATACTTGAATTCAACTTGGTTCCTCTGCTCCATGAAAGAAATAAATGAGCAGTATATTGTAAAACATGATCTTAAAACAGTCCTTTCAAGACCACCATGGTCTCATGATTTCTAGTATCCTTCCTAACAATGAAGCACATAGAACAGGGACTCAGTAAATATTAAGATTAAAACTGCACGTGAAAAATTTTACTCTGTCCATGACCTAATTTCAGGTAGAAAAACCTGACAGTGTTTATTTGGATGAACTACTACTACTATACATCTATAACTATTGATACAAAACAATCTCCGAGACAACTTAGAGTCACTTCATAAAAGTTTTAGTTTCAACAACGTGGGTGTAGCTCAGTGGTACAATTTTCATAGCATGTACAAGTCCCTGGGTTCAATTGGACCAGCATAGCAAAAAATATAAATTTTAGTCTTGAAACCTATTAGCTATCATTTAGTCAATCCCTTCCATTTAAGATGCAGAAACTATGAGCCAAAAAGGGCAAATAGCCCACCCAATGTGACACACTAAAGGCAGAAATAGCAGAAGAATCCAGATTTCTGAGCCTTTTATTTCTCCTATATCTTTCATTCACTTTTATTTTTATTTATTTATATGTCTTTTGGCAGTAGTGGGGTTTGTACTTAGGACCTAGCAAGTACTCTACCTTTTAAGACAAACACACAAAGGACAAGACATTGAGAAAAACAGAGCAGAGGGAGATGAGGCTGTAAACCAAGGAATGCTGACCACTACCAGAAGCTGGATGAAGAAAGAACTAGACTCTTCCTTGGAGCCCCCATACGGGTCTCAATCCCTGGACTACAGACTTCTAGTCTTCAGAATCCTGAGAATAAAGTCCTGTTGTTTTAAGTTAACAAGTCTGCAGTGGGTTATTACAAGAGCCAAGGTTAAAAAAAAAAAAAAAAAAGTAATTCTTTTTGGCAGAACTGGGAATTTCAGCATACTAGGCAAGTGCTCTATGTCACTTGAGCCACACCCCTAGTCTGTAAACATGTAAGGATCATAAACTAGGGGCTGGGAGTACAACTCAGTAGGCAAGAGAATGTACTTAGCATGCTCAAGGCCCTGGTCCAATCTCCAGAACCAAAACAAAAAAGCAATAAACCACACATACATAAAACCATTTACTGAACCTGGGCTGAACAGTGAGCTCCAGGCCAGCTTTGATTACACAGCAAGACAAAAAAGTGCTTCACGTAACTCAAAGAATGTCTAAAGACCTTTAATCTCTCATTTCAAAGGATAAAATGAGGCAACGGCAGGATACAATTTCCCCCAAAATAAACTGGCAGACCTAAGAAGACACACTCAAGAGAGGTCTAATATTTACATAGCTGCTAACAAGAACAGTGTAGGTTTTACAGAAAACACATGAACTGGTTGAGCTCCTGGACAGACTAAACATAGGCAGCAGTTGTCACTGTGGGTGTTCTGCCAGCCCAAGTGTAAAGTTGTCATCAGAAATGAATATGTGGCTTCAAGTGGCTTCCAGAAATCTAACAAATCTGTACCTTGGACTGTGCAGAAGCCAACACTTCTCAGAATGACCTAGACTTCTTCCTATTAGCATAATTATGAGTTAAAGTCATCTTCTATGAGCAAGGAAGGAAAATCAAAGTTTATGCCAAGGAACAAAGATGATTGCCCAGAATATAAAGTTCATGAATAACAATCTGTAAACAGCCATACTGAGTCAAGTGATATGTACCACTGTAACTTATTACTCTTAAGATCAATATCCATAGTCCAGCTTTAGGCCCAATTCAGGTAAGGTGAATGTGAACAAAAAAAAAAAATCAAGTAAAAGGACAAAATAAAGCTAGAAAATGCTTTATCAAGTTATGAAATGGGTGATTCCAATAAGACATGGAAATCATGCTATATGGTTACATAAAATACCTAGAGTAAATAAAAAAAGAGGGGCTGGGGGGCCCTCAGTGATAGAACTTGTACTCAGCATGCATGAGGGCCTGATGGCTTCAATCCCTAGCACCATAGGAAACTGAGGCAGGATGAGGATTGCCAATGAGTTCAAGGCAAGCCTGGGCTACATGAGGCCCTGTCTTTTTTTTTTGTCTTTTAGTGGTACTGGGATTTGAACTCAGGGCTTTGCACTTGTGCTAGGCAACTCTACCACTTCAGCCATGCTTCCAGACCAAGGCCTGTCAAAAAACAAAACAACAAAAACAGTACCGATAAATAAAAGATTCACTGGTTTTTCTCAGGTATTTTTTATCAAGCCTTTCTCTTTTCTGAAATACTGCCAAGGGCTGAGGCTCTCTAGGACTTTCCTAGTCACAACAAATCCAATCACTTCTCGCTCTTTCCCCAATGAACATTCTGTTTACATACTAGCCATGTAGACCAGTGAAGATGTGTTCTTTTCATTGTTACTAAACAGTCCTTTTGGGTACAGTGCAATAGTAGTGTCTAAGCACAAGTGCTTTAAGTTGTGCTACTTAGGGTTTTCAGTGTGATAGTCTCAGAAATTCAATGAAAAATTACCACTAAAATTTCCCCACCAGAGAAGAATGTTCATACCTAGTATCACTTTAGTTCTTAGCTCAGCAGCTGCATTAGCACTTCTATAAATAGGTTTTCAACTAGTTATAAAATATACACTTGTCTTCTTATAAGTGCCAGTGAACACGGTAGTGTGTTCATTATAAGCTTCACTAAGATCATTGGTCTTTTGTACAAAGTCAGAAAGGTCTCTAATCTTCATATGTACTTCATAATACTTCATATGTACACTCATCATATGCTGATAACTGGCATTTAAGTACTTAGCCTAATAAAGTAAATCAGTGAACAATAAGCACTGATACTGCCAATAAATGACATTTATATATTTCCCAAAAAAATCCTGGAATAAGAAGAGTGGGCATTACCAACAGAAAACCGACTGCATGTAAAATACATTTAGAAGGAAGTCTAATCAAAAGGCAACAAATGCTGATCCAGGAGGATGAGACTTCTGTCCCTAATACCTTAAATATCTCTCTCATTTTAATTAAAAGGTAGACATCCTCAAAAGAACAGAAGAGGGGCTTAGGAAGTCTTTAACGGTGTAAAAAAAGATACATTTATAGGAGGAAAAGTTCCTCAGAGAACAAGAGACTGAGATAAAAGCATTGGAGACATAAATAATGAAAAGGAAAAAAGGGATGGTGAGAAGTACATGGTGACTGGAAACACGACAACAATTGATTTCATCTTTTATTTAATTTTAATGACAAATTAGCTCTGCAAAGATCTAAACATTAGAGACCCAATCTGCCTCCTCCCACTGTGTCCCTAGAAGTAACATTTTGACGTGTAGCTTTCCAAAACTTTTTGTGGTCCTATAAACATACCGCGGAAATATGCATTAAGATGTAGGTTTTTCTTGAATGCCTTCCATGACAGCACAGAGTTATTCTAATCGTTCCAACATTTTAACAGTTTTTCTAAAAAAGTGAATGCCCAAAGTCTAATGCCCTCCCCTGCTTCCCCAAACCTAAAGTGGTGGATGCTGGAATGTAATGAAACTTTACGCTTTCCCTAACAAGGAGGTATATGGGGAAGGAAGCCTAAAGGCTTCGTTAGAGAAATCAAAGGAAAAAAATATCCCACTACACACCTCCACAACTCCAAGTCTAAGATTTCCCTCTTATGGAGAGCCTGTCTATCTACTGGCTCCAGGTTTCCTCCATTCCCACTGGAGTCTAACTGCTGCCTCTTGGAGGAGGCCAACCTACCGCGCGCTTCGTCCTCATTGGCTCAGTGAGATGCTGCTCAGGAGGGGAAAACCGGCCTCCTACGTTCCGATGGCCCAAGGGCCGATCAGTCGGCAGCTCAAGGAAGACCCAATTGGCCTATACAATCGCCAGTCAAATTCTTTAGCTGCACAGCTCCAAAGAACCTGCAGGGATTAAAACATCCCGCCCCCTGTTCTTCTATTGGTTGGCCTGATCCATCGCTGCCCCTTCACTACCCCCCCCCCACCATCCCGTAGTCCATTCATTTCGCACAATAACGGGCCCAATTGGAGCCGATTCAAGACCTCGTATGGATAGACAAGACCCTCTGCCACTTACCCAAGATCGAGAATGATCACTCACACTAACGTCTGCCCTGTTCCTCTGTGGTGAGGCCGCACCACAAGCCTCCGCAACCGCCGCCTTCTGCGCAACGCCAACCGCCCGCCAAAACGGATCCCTTCCCTGCGCCTGCGCAACCAATCCTGGGCCTGGACCTTTTCTCCGCCCATAACGCCTGCGCAAAACGGGACACAACTCCCGCCACTACGCAGGCGCCATAGACTCACTGCCCGCTCCCGCCCGCCATTTCAAGTGTTCCAAGCAGGCGGAACTTCTTAATACGCCTGCGTAAACTCGCCATTTTACTACACATGCGCTCAATAAGTGGACGTTGCAGAGAGTCATAGGCTACTTTTCTAATGTGCAGCATTAACCGTGCTTTGCAAAGGGAATGGAATGTAATGTTAGGATGTGGATAGTTAAAAAAGTTTAAAGACCTTAGGTCCATTCAAGTATGAATGATCGGTGGACTAGCCAGACTGTTTAAGAATAACATTGCTCGGGAACAAATGGGGCGGAGATTACGTAGACCGCCCAAAAGGATGACGTTTCAGAGCAGCGCCGCAACATAGACCAATAATCGGGGAAAGGATTTCAAAAACCCAATCAGAGCTAGGAAGGGGCGGAGTCTACCAATGCCGAAAGCGAGGAGGCGGGATAAAAGGGCGATGCTGAAGGTAGGCTGGCGGATACGTTCGTTAGCTTACTCCTTTCTGTCCGTGGACGCGGCCGAGGAAGCATCGCTTAAGTCTCTCTTCCCACTGCCGTTATGTCTAAGTCGGAGGTGAGTTACTCGCGGCTTGTAACCTGATTTCCAGCTTCACTTCCTACTGAGTTTGGTAGGATGCAGCCTGGTTTTGTTGCTTGCATCAATGTTTTCGGCAGTTTCTTTGGTCGCTGCCAGGGCCTACTCCTCCCAAAGTTCAGGTCGCCATTTTGTCTTCGTCGTCGCCATGCGGCTGCTATCCGCCAGCCACTTTATTACTAGGTCTGGCTCGTTATTCATGGGAAAACTCCTGGGCACAAGTGGCCTGTTACTCACTTATTCTCGTGGGCGAGTTTCCTAAAGAATGATTAGATGTCTTTCTAGCGATGCGCCCTCCCGCCTAGCTCTTTGTTGCGCCTGCGTACGGAGTGAAATTGGGGCGCATGCGCACTCGACTTCGGCAGTTCTCAACACCACCTTCGGGGATGGGGAGACGAGCACGTGGCTTTTTGCAGTATGAACTTATTAAGTGCTGCTGTATATTGGTGTATGGCTTTTCATTTCATAAATGGGAACTTTTTCGTGGTATAACCCGCCACTAAACGATTCCTTCTACTCCTCACCCTCACTGTAGTCTCCTAAAGAGCCCGAACAACTGCGGAAGCTCTTCATCGGAGGGCTGAGCTTTGAAACGACCGATGAGAGTCTGAGGAGCCATTTTGAGCAATGGGGAACCCTCACGGACTGTGTGGTAAGACATGGGAGGGACAATAGACACGAGAATCAGATCAGTTCCTTGGCTTGTCTTTCTGTAGTTCTCTGAAAGCTTTATGAAGGTGGCTGATAGGATAATTTGGAAAAGGTGTCTGAGGCGTTATCTTTTAGAGCTGCATGTTTAATAGTGTAACTTGAAGGGCTTTGTACACAGGGCTTGTGTAAAGTTTCCTGCTGGTCTTCGTAGAAATGAAATTAGTTTCTAGGTTTGGGCTGTAATCATGGAATTAACACTCTTCTCAGGTAATGAGAGATCCAAACACCAAGCGCTCCAGGGGCTTTGGATTTGTCACTTATGCCACTGTGGAGGAGGTGGATGCAGCTATGAATGCAAGGCCACATAAGGTGGATGGAAGAGTTGTGGAACCAAAAAGAGCTGTCTCGAGAGAAGTGAGTAACTGGAGGTTCTCCTTCCGGACCCACCCACCCCCAAATTATTGTCATCTGGTAGTGTGCTGCTAATGAATGCTTCAAATTTGGGAGTGTTTTAAACTCAACAATTCTTTTGATGTGGGGTGGTTATTTAAACAGCTGAAGTGATTTCCCTTCAATTAGGATTCTCAAAGACCGGGTGCCCACTTAACTGTGAAAAAGATTTTTGTTGGTGGCATTAAAGAAGACACTGAAGAACATCACCTGAGAGATTATTTTGAACAGTATGGAAAAATCGAAGTGATAGAAATCATGACAGACCGAGGCAGTGGAAAGAAAAGGGGCTTTGCTTTTGTCACTTTTGATGACCATGATTCTGTGGATAAGATTGTCAGTAAGTATTAGATCATTGGTTCTTCCTAAGGATTTCGGAATCCTCGTGGTGTTCTAAATCCTAAGATACTTGTCTTAATTTTTTTTTTAGTTCAGAAATACCATACTGTGAATGGCCACAACTGTGAAGTAAGGAAAGCCCTGTCGAAACAAGAGATGGCTAGTGCTTCATCTAGCCAAAGAGGTATATTTATTGTTCAAACAAATTTGAGGTAAAATTTGAAATGTTGGGAACTATGGTTTAACACTTTCAAACTTAACTTTTAAGGTCGAAGTGGTTCTGGAAACTTTGGTGGTGGTCGTGGAGGTGGATTTGGTGGCAATGACAATTTTGGTCGGGGAGGAAACTTCAGTGGTCGAGGTATGTATTATGCAAGGTTTGCTAAAATTTGGGGGCTTAAGTTTTTCTAGATTTTTTGGTTTTGTTTTTTTTTTTTTTCAGCTTGCATTAGTAACTACTGGCCTATATTTCCAAAGTTTTTTTGTTTGTTTGTTTTTTTTTTTTTTTTAGGTGGCTTTGGTGGTAGCCGTGGTGGTGGTGGATATGGTGGCAGTGGGGATGGCTACAATGGATTTGGTAATGATGGTAAGTTATTTAAGGAATGTGTAAGTAAAATTTTTGATTATCTTGTACCTTTAGAATAGGCTAGTAGAGACTAAAACTGTAGTGCATGATAAGCTCAACTTGGCCCATAATACGCATGCTGTTAGGCCTTTTAGCCATTACACTTGCACAGATTTTTATTGTTAAATACTTTTGTCTTATTGAGAAGAATTGTATTCTTGTAGGTGGTTATGGAGGAGGCGGCCCTGGTTACTCTGGAGGAAGCAGAGGCTATGGAAGTGGTGGACAGGGTTATGGAAACCAGGGCAGTGGCTATGGCGGGAGTGGCAGCTATGACAGCTATAACAACGGAGGAGGCGGAGGCGGCTTTGGCGGTGGTAGTGGTAGGTATCCAGTGATCCAAGCATTTGGTCTGATAGCTAGATTAGTTTCTTAGAGTTTATTCCTGTGTTGGATTTGGAAGCTTTTAAAGCATTGTGTGGTATACTGCATGGTACACTTAAAATCAGGCTTGTTGTGCTACCTCCTCCTAGCTTTAAGCTGGGGCCGCCTCACTCCCAAATAAGTAAGTGGATAGTAGTGTCTTCAATTTGAGTTAGCATCAATTAGCATCATGGCAGGATTTAGTACCTAAATTCCTTTGGGATCTTAGGCACTTAGTTGATACATCCAACAAAACTATTGCACTACCCTTGGGTGTATAAAGGCCTTCAAGACTGAAGAATCCTTGCAAGTGCCACTAAGAAAAATTGAATTGTCAGAAGAGTTCAGGTTGATTTTTAACTGCTGGATTATTCAACTGAATGCCTTGCCCAGAGAATGAAATACAAAGATTTGGAGCTACCAGTTTGGGAGGAAGGCAGGCAGAAGGCTACTGAACAGAATTGAGCACTATCACTCATCTTCCCCAAGTAACACACAGAGGCCCTCTTTCCATTCCCAGGAAGCAATTTTGGAGGTGGTGGAAGCTACAATGACTTTGGCAATTACAACAATCAATCTTCAAATTTTGGACCTATGAAGGGAGGAAACTTTGGAGGCCGAAGCTCTGGCCCTTATGGTGGTGGAGGCCAATACTTTGCTAAACCACGAAACCAAGGTACAGTATATGCAATTTGGATAGTTATAGAGGGTTATTTATATTTAGTACTAGTGAGGAGTGAGTAAATTAGCTTTTCAAGGTGGTATGAGCGGTGGGTGCAATAAAAAGCTGACAACTTAAAATCTTAGAAGAAAACTTAAGTGGCTTGCAATCATGAAAAAACATGGCAAGGGCCATTTTGATCCTTCATTCTAATATCTGAACTTAAATTAGGGCTTTATAATCTCAAATAAGAAGCCATTGCTATTGTTACTTCCAAAACTTTAAAAACAAGTTTTATTTTAGGTGGCTATGGTGGTTCCAGCAGCAGCAGTAGCTATGGCAGCGGCAGAAGGTTTTAATTGCCAGGTAAGAAAACACCTTTTTTGTGTGACTTAATTTTTTATAATTGCTGATAAACCCAGTAACCCTAATATAGCTGAGCAGTGCAACATAGTTAACATTATAATTGCAGTAAAATTGTGGCTATTAAGTTAATATTCAGATCAGCAAAATTTGTGGGAAACAACTTGCTATTGGATTGTAGCATTAAGTCTTAATGTGTTTAGATTAACAACTTTATTCCATATTGTTCAACAGGAAACAAAGCTTAGCAGGAGAGGAGAGCCAGAGAAGTGACAGGGAAGCTACAGGTTACAACAGATTTGTGAACTCAGCCAAGCACAGTGGTGGCAGGGCCTAGCTGCTACAAAGAAGACATGTTTTAGACAATACTCATGTGTATGGGCAAAAAACTCGAGGACTGTATTTGTGACTAATTGTATAACAGGTTATTTTAGTTTCTGTTCTGTGGAAAGTGTAAAGCATTCCAACAAAGGGTTTTAATGTAGACTTTTTTTTTTTTGCACCCATGCTGTTGATTGCTAAATGTAATAGTCTGATCATGACGCTGAATAAATGTGTCTTTTTTTTTTAAATGTGCTGTGTAAAGTTAGTCTACTCTGAAGCCATCTTGGTAAACTTCCTAACAGTGTAAAGTTAGAATTCCTTCAGGGTGATGCCAAGTTCCACTTGAAATTTACTTGCAACTGCTTGGGTGGAGAGAAGCATTGTCTTCAGAAACCTTGGTGTAGAGTGTGACCTTAGGAATTTCTTGAAAGGGTCACCCAAGAAAAGTCACTGAATTATTGGTTAAAAGCAATTGTTGGCACATCCTATGCAATATCTAAATTGGATAATGGTACCAGATAAAATGATAGATGGGAATGAAGCTTGTGTATCATCCATTATCATGTGTAATCAATAAACGATTTAATTCTCTTGAATGGAATGACAACTGTATGGATTTGGGCCTGGCAGAGATTTGGACTTTCCCCTACACACTACCCCTTGATGAATGTTGAATGTTTCTATCACAATGCAAGTTCAAAGCTCTGCCAGAGAATAGAAACCAGCTGCTGGTTAATACCACCCCCTTAAATCCACAGATTAGAAGTGTTTTCAGGCACCTTTTTTAAATTACAAGTATCAGTAGGAATTTTAATTAAGAGTAGGCTTACATTAAAGGAAAATTGCAGTTTTCCTGGGTCATGGTTGGGTGGGTCTCTTAAGGTTTTATTATAAGCCAACCAGTTTGGAGATTGAACTAGAAATAAAAAAACATTTTTACATAATTTCACATTAACTGCAGTTTTCCTTTAAATATGGCACAAGATCACACAATTATCCTAGTGTTAATTGTATAGGAAAATGAATTCAAAAATTTTGATACCCAATAACTGTTTGTACATAGATTATTTCAAGCCTCTTTGGTGCCTCCTTAATTTTAGTGCCATTGTACATAGTAGCATAGATACTTTGTTTATCAATAGGACTGTATATTCCATCCCATGGGTGTGTAACTTGGAAGTTTGGGGAGGAGGGCGGAGGGAGGTGGGGGAGGTGGGGGGAGGGTGGGAAAGTATGGTTGATAGTTACATGATACTGGCTGAGTTTGCAACAGCAGGTGGAACCGTAACTATTGAGGGAGTTTGCAGATACCTCAGGATTCGTGACAATGCCTTTAAAGATCCAGGAGATGTTCAGCTACTAGGAACTGCTAGCAAGTATAGCGCGAATGGCTCCGAGCTCAGACACTCTTCAGCTGAGAGTAGACACTTGTGGTATGTGGAGTACAGATAAGCCAGGGACAGGCCACGGCACGCTCCATGAAAGCTAGGAGGGAGTGAAGTTTCAGTGACCATCGCAAGGAAGGAGGCAGACAAGAGTAAGGCACACCTGACTCTTAGGACTAGCAGTCAGAACCAGGAGAAAAGGTTTTATTGCTATACTGGTAGGTAAGAACAGATTTTACTTCCATCTGTATAGCTATATAAAAATCCAGTATTCTGTTGCATTCTCTCCTTAATATATTGAGCCAAAACTAGTCCAGTTAAGCTGAACTTAAGTTTTTCTGGAGATGGATTGTCTTAATTGATACCCTATTTTTATTGGCTCCCAATTGAAGGAAGTGGAGATGTAAAATTTATTTCTGTAAAGATAGATATATTTTTACCCTTTAATTATTTCTTTTACCCATTTCCTTAAAATAATGGCTCAAAGTAATTTTAGAATCCTTTCCCCCAAGTGGTGGGAGGGTGGATGGGTCATTGAGGGGAGGTGGGGGGGCAATAGTTTGAAGTTGGGACTTGGTCTCACAAAAGATCTAGTTCTAAAGGTTGTTTACTTTTCTAGGGAGATACTGCTACTACAGGCTTCTCAGCTCTTTTTTTAAAAAACTTTGGTCCAAGTTCATGGCTAAAAGGTAAGTTTGGTGATTTGCATTCCCAAAAAGAATGACCTACTACACTTAAAACCAAAGGTTTTATAATCTGGTTCAATTGTTAGCCATTGTTAAAACAGGGTGTCCCCCTTAATGAGAGTGGATATAATTGTAGAGTCCTTCACTCTGCTTATGTATGCACTTCATGGTTTCTTTTCCTTTTGCAGGACATCCTTGTGAGGACAACCTTTATTCTGAGCCACTATACTTCATTCTCACTGCCATGTAGTTGGTTTTAGCTGCTCTGCAGCTCTAATCATTCAGTTTTGTGAATGGATTTTTAAATAAACTGCACTTAGTTTTGCTTCTTGTTTTCCTTGTCTCCCTTTGTGATACAGGTAAATGATACTGTGTACCTATACAGATTTGGAAGTAGAAAATGTAGATATCGTTACACTGGCCAGTAAGCTTGAATTTATTAAGCAGACAGTCCCCTTACTCATTCCTAGCCAGTGTGTTTCCTTTGATCCTAAAGGTTAAAAAAAAATTTAAATGAAAGCGTGTGTCGAAATGATTAGTTCCTTTAAGTGGTTCTAACACTTGCTATACACAAAACTATCCCATTCAATTTGGTTTGGTGAAAATAGAGAAAGGTATTGGTATCAGGAATAATGTGGCCTAGTCACAGATATATGCTGTCCTGGGATTTTGAATTCTGCCTCATGATTGCAAAGCAGGTGCTGTACTGCTTGAAATAGGCTTCTAGTCCATTTTGCTCTGATTATTTTGGAGATTGTCTCATGAACTATTTGCGTAGGCTGACTTTGATCCTCCTGATCTCAGCCTCCCAAGTAGCTAGGAGCCACAGGTGGAGTTAAAAAGTGAACTTTGGTAGAATTGAAGTTTGAACTCTGTTTACAAAGCCATCGCTCTACCATTTGAGCCACACCTATTTGAAGAGGTTAGTGTCAGGTCTGTTTGCTCAAAACTTGAATTTGCTAGGAAAGATTTGCTTGTACAGCTCTTGAAAGGATAGAACAACACAGGATGCCACACTTAGCTAAAATATGGGGGTTTTGTTTTGTTCCTTTATAGTAGTGGGGTTTCACTCAAGGTCTACACCTTGAGCCACTCCACCAGTCTTTGTGTGTGTGAGATGTTTTTTTTTCAAAATAGGCTAACTTCGAACTGTGATCCTCCTGATCTTTGATCTTTGCTCCCTGAGTAGCTAGGATTACAGGTGAACCACCAGTGTCCAGCTGGCTAAAATGTTTCTTACTGAAAAACTGAAGGGGCTGGGAATTTCAGTGGTAGAGCACTTGCCTGCTATGGGTAAGGCCCTGGATTCACTTTCCAGAACCGCAAAAGTTTTAAATTGAAAGCCAGTAGTGTTGGTATGTGCTCATATTTCCAGCACTTTGGAAGAGGAGGAGGCAGAAACAAGAGAATGTCAAGTTTGGGGCCAGTCTGAGCCACATAGACCCTGTCTTTAAGAAAGTACATTCCTATTACATGCCATGTATTTGACTACTTGGTTTACTTAAATGCAAGTCTGAAAAGTTCTCTATGAGGAAGTAGATCTTCAAGGACTCAGTGTCCAAGCATGAATTGGGCAGTGGTTGTCTAGCAACCAGAAAGGGCTGGGACAAAGCTCAGTGATAAAGGGCTCCTTTTTTGTGATGTGTTTTTGAAACTTTGCCCTGGGTGACCTTGAACCACTATCCTCCTGGCAAAACTTTTTTTTTGCAGCACTGGGGTTTGAACTTAAGGCTAGGCAGGCACTTTTAGGGCTTGAGCCACTCCGCCAACCCTGTTTTTTGATGTGTTTTTGAAACAGGATTGTAAACTATTTGCTTCAAACTGCAACCCTTCTGATCTCTGCCTCTTGAGTAGCTGGGATTACAGGCGTGAACCACTGGCATCCTTGGCTAGCGTTCTTGAAGCCTTGGGTTCCACCCACAACACCACAAAAATAAAATTGTACAGGAGTATTTTACTCCACTGTGGAGGAGGTGTGAAATACTCTGAAATTTTGATGTCTAATCAAACACTCCAGTCATGAACAGCTGTCTTCTGAGAGCCCTGGCCTATCAGGACCCACCGGGGCTGAGAAGTGAGCATGAGAATATTAGAAAAAGGCCTAATGGGCATTTTAGGCTTTTGTGCTCCAATTACAGAAGTGAGACCTAAACTTTAACCTTGCATAGAGGATCTAGCCAACTTCTGCAGTTCTCTGGCATGAATAGGGGACCATCTGGGAGTGCGGGATTCCTCAGCTCTATTAACAGCCCCTGACTAAAAAGTGGGATGAAGGTGGGTAGACCTCCACACTACTCAAGCCCAAATTTTGTGTGTACTTGAGATAAACAGGATTTCCTCCCCACACCCAACAAGCAGTGATTTCTGAAGAGTGCTCACATATCTTCCCTAAAGGAAGACTACATGGAAAGCTATTTCTGTTGAGCTCTTTATAGACCAAAGCTTAGACAAGAGGTGGAGGTAGGTTGCCTGGAAAGCTAAATCCCTCTCCTGCCCTCAAGGCAAGCCTCATTGAACACATCTTGAAGCTTCCAAATATCAGGGTTTCCCTTGTTCTCTACAGACTCAGGGCCTTAGGGGTTAGGGGAGTACCTTTATTAGAAAGGAATGAGGGAAATCCCCATCATCAGTCCCCTCCCCCTGGGCCAGCTCAGTCTGTGGCCTCCATCTTTGTCCCCCTGGGCACCAGGAAGATGGCCCCATCTGCAGCCTGTTGCAGAGCATACTCATCAGGAGAGTAGCTGTTGCCTGATTCATCCCGAAGGTGCTGGAAAATGTCACGGTACAGCTCTGCCAGCTGTTGGCGCATGACCTCCAGAGTACGGTCTGCCTCCCCTCGGGCCCTGAGAAGTCGCTCCCTTTCATTGCCTAGCCGCTCCAGCTCTCGCTCCAACTGCACAATGGTTTCCAGCTTTCTCTTGCGACAGTTCTGGGCGGCCACCTTGTTCTTACCCCGACGTCGGATGTCCCTAACTAGAGCCAACTGGCTCTCTGTCAGTGGGTACCGTGCCAACAACTCATTAAAGTCATCTACCGGCAAGTTGACGATCTTGTCCGTAGGGAAGGGGATCTTCATGGCCAAAGCACGACGCTCATCCCGACTTCCTGCCTCCCCCCGTGCAGCAGGCTTAGCCCTCGGAGGGCCTGAGGAGGGCTCCAATGCCAAAGGGGTCTCAGCAGGTGGCAAGGTATAGTTGGGGTGGGCCAAGGAACTGGGCATAAGTGAGTAAGGGTACTCCACTGGGTACATCTCTACATATTCGCTCCGTCGCCGACTAGCCTCTGTCCCCTCCAGCTCAAGAGATTCAGCATCACTGTAGTTGAGGGATAATCCTGAGTCGGATTCTGGATCTTCTTGGGGCTTGGGTGGCCCCACTGGTAGCCCAATGTCCAGGAGGGCTAAGGGGTCTGGCAGGGGCTCACTGAGCAGGCCGGAGAGGGTCAGTGGCTTAGACACTGGTATGGCCATGTTATCATAAGAGAATGAGGGGTCTGGGACATGGGATGTGGATAGTGGGAGCTCATAAGGAGGAGGAGGAAGGGGGAAGCCTGCATCTGGCTGGACTGAGCAGGGGCAGTAAGCTGGAGTTGGTGAAGGTCCAGGGTATGGGGTTGGGGCTTGGGGCTCAAATGATGGCTCACTTGGAACATTTAGACCCTGCAAAGAAAGACACAAGGAGGGTTGGAGACAGACTGAGGAAGAGAAACCAGCTAGCTCTATGTTAAGATCAAGCCAGGTTCTTCTGAAAGTACCAATGGAACAATAACAAGGAACCAGAAAGGGTGCCAAAAATCATTGGAAGTGGAGACACAGCTGTTCCAAGAAAGCAGCTTAAGCAGGAATAAAAGTCACTGAGGTCAGGCTTCAGAGAAAACATCGTAGCACTGTAACAGTTACAGAACCTCCTGCTCAGGAGCAGCTCTTACTGGGTTGAAATGGCCCCTACTCCTTTATTTCCTTTAGGAAGAGGAGACGTTGTTATCCAAGATGACCCTCCAGCCCTTTCCTGCTGTGGTTATTTAGGTCAAAGGGTCAAGTTCAGTCCCTGGCCATGCCCTGTGTACCCAGCAGAGGGAGCTGCTGTGTGGGAGGAGGGCCTAGGGCAGATCCTGAGGGTGCCAGGCCTGGAGGGAAAGGGGGCAGGTACAAAGCCGAGGCTGGGGGCTAAGAAGTACCTTGGGGAACCCACACAATTCTGCAATCTCTTCAGTCCCTCTGTCTCTGTCAGGTGCAGTGAGGAGAGAACATGCTGGAAACAAGGCCCCCAACCCATGTAGGGGAGCCACCCTGTTCCAGCCCAGCTGGGGACAAAGGCATCATTGTTAGGCCAACAGACACCCCTTTGTCCAATATGCAGGAGAGGACCCCAGCACAGTCTGACTCCCCTTTCTAAGGCCCCTGAACTACTGCTCTGCTACCTGGGGGATAGGGGCCCAGTTGCTAAGGGCAGGGGAAGGAAATAAGGAAGGATGGGAAGGATTAGAGGAAAGGGAAATCAGAAGAGAAGAGGGCAAAAGGGAGGGCAGAGCAGGAGGAAAGGTAGAGAAGTGAGCAGAGAAGCTGCTGAGAAGAGCCTACAACCTCACTCAGATCCTTTCTTCCCCACCACTCCTTTCCCCTGCTCCTCCACACCTCCCTTTTCCCCAACATTTCTTAATGTTTCTGTCCATACCTCCTACACACTCCAACATTTCATTTTCCAGTGTCTGCAACATATCCAGCCATGAGCCCTGTTTCCTCCACCCCATGCTTTGATCCAGGCCAGACTCCCTGCTTCTCCATCCTCCCCCTTCCTGCTTACCTGCAGCTCAGTGATAGACATGATCTCTTGCCAAGTCAGTTCCATCTCGCCCAACTCTACAGTGGGCAGTTGTGTCACCCTGTTCCTGCTCTGCTGGGGAGGACACGGGGGCATCCTACTGGGCCAGGATTGCGTCCAGGTTCCCCTAAAGCCCAAAGGGCCCCAGCAACCTGTGTCAAAGGAGGAAAAGTGTTAGAACTGCTCCTGCTACTGTCAGCAAGTCTGTCCTGCCACCGTGGAGGGGCTCCTCCACCTTCATCTGAGGGAAAGAAAGACCTCTGCCCCTTACTCGTGCTGGGCCCACCAATTAACCCTTTAAACTGGAAAGTCTTCTTTTGTGGTATGGTCTCTACTTCCTGCAGCCAGGCCATGGTCAGTTTCTTTGGGAACCTAGTGGGTCATTACCCTTTTTTCAGACTATTTGCTTGCTTCTTACTCTCCAAAACTGTGTTCCTGCACAGAGACAGAGTCAGATCTTCTGAGGTTTTTTGTTTATTTGTTTGGGTTAGTTAGTTTTGTTTTCTGTTTGAGAGAAAAACATTAGAAGTCATCCTTGCTTTCCTCCTGTGTACTGTTAGGGTCTCAGTCTTTTCTTCCCAAGATGAGAGTGAGTAGTTGGGGATCCCTAAGGAGCGGGTTATGGGAAATACTAAGCAGATAGCCCCTCCCCTTCTCTGAGATATGACCCAGGCCTGGTGTTGATAGCAGCCCTGCCCTCTCCTCCTATCCTCACCCTGGGCTTCCCTGCCTGGGCCAGATAGGAACTTTATCAGCTGCACGCAGTAGAGACAGAGGAGGAATGGGCTCCAGAGAACTGGACCTCTACCCTGTGCTCCACAGAGGCATCTTAGACATACCCCAACCAGGCATCTTTCCTCCAGGCATCAAGGAAATATAACAACCATATCAAAAACTTATTAAGAACTTGTCAAGAACTGTGCTGGTGTTTTCTAAGTATTAGTTTATGAGATCAGTTTTCACAAAAATACTGTAAAGTCTATTCAGAAACTGAGGCCCAAGCTGACAAATGGCAGAATGAGATTCTACTAGCTTATAATGCCTACCAGATACCTTCTACCTGCACCTCTAGCTCTCTATACTCCACATCTCTATTGGCAGTCTGCCTCAGTCAGTTTTTTCTGTGGAGTCTCAGTCCCTTTTCTCTTCTTCTGGACTATCTCTCTTTAGGACCTTGAATACATCCACCCCTTCTGCCCCCCTTCTTTTGATCTGGGCTCTAGCTGCAGCTCTGCTACAACACAGTAGTGTGATGTTGGGCAAGCCATCTCTCTGCTTTTCACCTGTTTCCTCATTTATAAAACCAGGGAGATGGACAAGTTGAACTTGGAGATCCCTTTCTGCATGGACAGCTGAGAGTTCTTAGCACTGTCACCCATTCCTTTATCTTCCCCTTTCTATCAGCCCCTTTCCTCATGCTATTTCCCTATTCCCTGACACCCTTCTCTCCCTGCATCTGTTCTTGTCTTCAACGAGACATTCCAGGTAGATTGGACAAAAGCCTCCTGATCTCTCAGGGCCAGACACTGCACGTGCATGTGAAAACACAACCACCACCACCATATAAATAAAGGAAAGCAGGCTAGGAGTAAAGGAAACTTACAGGACAAAGGATAGAACTGGATGACCTCAAATTGCATGACCTTAGATCACACACGCCAAGGATGACCCATCACAGACATTCAACATGGAATCACTCTTGGACTTACCACAAAATTGGTGGGCACTGGAAAAAGTATCCTTTCAAAGAGGATCTCCCTGAATCCTGCCTCCACCCCCTATATTGCCATCCCCAAAGCTGGGAGTTGGTGTAGGCACAGGCCATGGCCAGTGGGCAGAGTGGGTGGGGTGTTTATGTCTGTCCAGGATGCCATTTCAACACCGGAACTCCTCCCTCCCCACCCAGGTTCTGGCGGAAATTGCCTAAAGGCAAAGTGAATGGAGAAGGGGTTTGAGGGCAGGGACCATGACTCTTGCCTCATAGTTCTTCACTCATCCCACTCTAAGGTGCTGTAAAAAAATTCCACCCTAAGAGGCAGGAGATCATATTCTCCAGCCTTCAAGGTGCATAAGTTTGGACAAATTGCTTGATAGTCTCCTCTATTAAATGGAAACAGGATTAGAGAACCTCATTGCTGTGAGAGGAAATAGACTGCATCTAGCCCAGAGAGTCACAAACTTTATTGTGCACCACATTCACCTGGGGTACATGTAAAAACAGATTCCTGAAAGCTGCCTAGAACTGATGAATTGATAGTGCAGGTACCCAGGAACCAGCATTTTAACAAGTGCCCTGGAGATTCTACTGCAATAGGCCAATCTCAAGAAACACTAACTTGCCCAATTGTGTGGATTTGCAGGGAAGAACACAAAACCAGAAAGGAGACTGGCAGATGTTTTGTAGGTTTTTTCTAGTTTCAAATTCTTGACCCTGATGAGGCTGGGCCCCAGGTGGCCCCTATCTCTGAGCCTAGATATCAGCCATTTCCCATAAAGACCTAGAGCTCAGTCTCTACCTCTCCCAGGGATAGGAAGATGAGAAGATGGGAGGAGAGCAGGGGGAGGCAGAAGACTGGGTGCAGGGAGTTGAGGAGAACCTCTGGACTAGCATGCTTGCTGGTGCAGCAGTACATTTGCACCAGGCCACAGGGGGAGAAAGAAGAAGAAGGATGCTTTCCCTAGATGTTCAGGGATGATGGAGGTCTATAACCAGGCATAGGCCCTTTTGGTTCTTGGGAGCCTCTCTTTCAGCAGACCCCTGACGTAGCAGCCAGTGGGCTAGATCAAAAAGGAGGGTATAGTCAGAAGTGGATCAAACAGAATACCATAGAAAGTGCAGAAACTGGGAAAGTGGACTAGGCATCGATGAGTACTTTTTCTTTTACAACTAGCAGCTCCCACTTTACAGTTTAGTCTATATCTTTTTGTTGTTGTTGTTTGTTTTTATCTTTCAGCCTGCATCTAATCACCATATTTCACTGAGTTAGCTATTCCTTTTCTTTTTTCTTTTGCAGTACTGGAGCTTGAACTCAGAGCCTACACCTTGAGCCACTCCACCAGCCCTTTTTTTGTAAAGGATTTTTTGAGATAGGGTCTTGAGAACTATTTGCCCAGGCTAGCTTCAAACCACAATCCTCCTGATCTCTGCCTGAGTAGCTAGCCTGGCTAGCAATTCTTTTCTTATTCCTCAACTGTGGATTAGGTAGAACTGGAGCTATTTTCAGGGACTAAAATCCATCCTCTTCCCTCACCTCCTGATGGTCCTACCCAAAAATACCTTTCTTTCTCTCTCTCTCTCTCTCTCTCTCTCTCTCTCTCTCTCTCTCTCTCTCTCTCTTCCAGTGGAAGGGATCAAACCTAGGACCTTATGCAGGCTAGGCAAGCACTCTAACCTGAGATCTTACCAGTCATTCAGTACTCACAGAATGATCTGGAGCTTTATGCTTAGAGATACAGGATCATTTAGAGAGGGATGCTGGGGAGAAGAAGCCATGTGGCCTCCTCTATTGTCCCAGGACTCTTCTTTGAGAAGGAGAGTGATAGAAACAGGGCTTGCCTCCGGGTTCCTACTCTGAGACTACACTACCCTACCTCCCCAGGTGTCAATGCAGATGGTGGAAGGATGAAGAGGGTATGGGTTGGCAGGAGAGCAAGATTCAGGAGAACTCCCAAAGAAGTAGGGGCTCACGGGGGTGAGACAGAGAAACATACAGAATGAAAAGGGAAGAAAAGGAATATTTGAGCAGAACAAACAAATTCAGTCCCCTGGGAACATACATGTCTCAAATGGTTTGTGGGAATAGGAGAGAACAGGAAAAGTTTTTGCTATCCTATTATTCTATCCCCTAGACCCCAAACTCCAGTTCTTTGGTACCAATGATTCCCTGCCCCAGCAGATCTGATACCTCCCCCTTCTCTTCCCCAGCATCCCTGCCTCCTACCTTCCCAGCAGCCAAGAATTCATTTTGAAGGAACTATACTGGGGTTGGGATGCCTTCCTGTCCCTTCCCGCTGGGCTCCTAAGTCTAGAGAAGGGAGAGGCAATAGGAGGCAAGAACCCAACTCCCTTCTGCAACCACCCCATTTTACTATAACAACACTTCTCAGACATCCAGATATCCCGTGTCTCCAATTCCTCGGCTCCTTTCTCCCTCCACCCCAATCTTCCCAGCTGGCTGGACAAGGCAGAAGAATGGAAGAGTGAAATGGAAGGGGAAAGGGTGGTGCCATATATCTAGGAGTCTATTGGATACCCCCAAGGCAGTGGAACAGTTGAAAGATTCCTCCTGGCCACTCCCCAAACCCTCAAGGATGCCTCAGGAGACCACTGAATGATCCCCATCCACAGCCTTCCACCACAAAGATCCCAGAACACCCAAGAAGCCATCTAGGTCTTCTCCCAGAGAAGTTCCCAAAGACGTCAAATTCCTAAACCAGGGGCAGTCAAGGAAGGTCTCTTAGCAACACACATACTCAAAGTTGGTTATTTCCTCCCTCCACCTCCCCAGTCTGCCCCTTGGATCCCATTGGGACCACCCCTCCCCCACCCCCGCCTTTTAGGCACCTGTGGCAGATTCCAAGCAGGATGAGGAGATGAGGCTGCTAGTGTAGTCTCTGGGAGGCTGAGTCCGAGCTGACACCTCCAGGGCGAGGAGCCCTACTACCTCTGAGCACCCGCGCACGCCGAGCCCCGCCCCCGGGTCATGGCTGAGCGCTGAGTGTGGAGGCTCCCGCGGGCCAGGGCGACGGGAGCCCTGAGGCAGGCGCACCGCACTTCTCTCTGCAGCCCTCGGCCTGAGTTCTCAGTCCTTCCTCCAGCCCTCCCCTTTCCCCGTGGCCCTCCTCTCCTCCTGCCCCTTCTGGCCAAGAGAGGAAACTTGAGCCCGGTGTGGTTTCTGCCCACTCCCCGCCCCCGCCTTGCTCCCGGCCAGCGGGGGCACCCAGGACTCCCAGCCTCTCCCAGCCCTTCTTTTCAACTCAGCTAGGTCTGCATTTCTCCCGTGCGTGTGATGAATTCCAACCCAACGGTCCACCCCAAAAGGGCCTCTAAACTTTATATCGATTGCAGCGTCTCTCGTCCCCGTGGCTGTTTAGGGACAGGGAAACTGAGTCATAACAAGGTGGAGGACAGCTGAAGGTTAAAGACCAAGTGTCTACCTTCCTAATTGTTTAGGCAGGTGGGCATTTAGGGCACAGCCTTCCTTTAAGAAAGCCTAGGCTCTGGGAATAGGGTAAGGGAGCGATTTTAGGGAGGAGGGGCTGCCCATTGCTTTGATGTGTCCTTTCACCTGTAGCCTTCTCCCCTCCCCCTCAGCCTCAGATGTCCTAGGACAAAGGCTTCTTTCTTTGTCAGTCTTTTTTTTTTTTTTTCCTTGTCAATGTGTGAGGGGGTTGGGGTGAGGGGCTGCCCAGCTGGAAGGTTATTCACTTCCCTTAAAGAAGACCTCCCCCCCCCCCACCCCCAGTGTCCTCTGTCCTTTCTTCCAGGCAATGAACCACAGCCATATAGCAGCCATGGACCCTTGGCAGGCCAGGACATGTGTAGAATATCAGGTTCACCCCCTAGTATCCAAGGCAGCTCTGCGTCAGGCCAGTGCTTACTTCCAAAAATCTTTCATTTATCCTTTTGCCTTCAAGCCGCATGGTCCAATCCATAAGCCAAACGGCTCTCTCTCTATAGAGACTAGGAGGAGAGTCTTCTTTCCTCCCAGTTCTTAGTAGCTTTCAGCTCTAAGGAAAGTCCTTCATATGTCTTGCTTCAGTCTTTACAGCTGCAGCTTACACTTTTTTCCTCTAACTTTTCTTCCAATTAAACTGGAAAGCAGACAGGTACCACCCCAAGGTAGTACTGGCATTCAGCCAACTCATCTGAAAGGACTGTGTTCACAGTTAAAATAATGGAAAATATTCTGTCCCAGCTGATGAACAGTGCTATAAGTCTTCCAAGTGTCCCTTTAGCACTATGCCAATGCCTTGGCCACCCTCAGCTTTCCCCTCAAATCCCCCACAACCCAGCAACACAATCAAGCAGGTAAAGAGGCGATGCTGATACCACAGGAGCCTCCTGTGCAAGCTTGTGTGTGCTGGAATTAATCAATGCCCATGCCAAACCCATGATTGAATGCTTTGAATTCTGCCCCTATCCCAGGAGATCACGACTGTTCGTGCATGGTTTATGTAGGACAATGACTTTACTGCATGTTACATGTGGGCTCAGATCTCTTGATGACCTGAGCATGAATCTGGGTCACATACATGGGCATTCAGATACAGCTCTTGCGTTTGCATACTTATTTGGGTCCCTCAGAGGGGATGAAGTGTGTCGATATGATATGCATGGCTGATTATGTAATGATATCAGGTTACAGACAGTCCACGGCATTTATTGAACAAGAACTACCAGCTCAGGACACAGTATGTGGCATTGCAGATACAACTATAGATAACACTTTACCATTCATTCAGGCTGGGGATGTAGCTCAGTGGTGGAGCACTTGTTGAGTATGCACAAGGTCCTGGGTTCAATCCCCAGCAACTCAAACAAAGTTGCTGTTATTCAATCAACAAGTATTTATTGAATGTCTACTATTTTTACGCTCCATAAACAAAGATAAATAAGACAGTATTATTGAGGAATTACATTAATTAAGGTTCACATAAAGTTCTATGGAGAGCCAGGCAGGTGGCACACACATGTAATCCCAGCATTTGGGAGGCTAAGCCAGGAGAATTGCAAGTTCAAGGCCAGCCTGGGTTGTATAGCAAGACCCTGTCTTAAAAACCAAACTAAAACAAAAAGTGCTATGGAGTGGAAGAGGGAATAAATTCTACCTGGTGAAATTCAGGAAAGGTTTCACAGAGGATGGAGGGAAGAATCTTCTGAGCAAAGGTCTGAAGGCACAGAGACATAAAACACAAGTGATACTTTGGGCTTCCTAGGATCCCTATGGAATCATAAATAGTAGAAGATAAGCCTTAGGGGCTAGGGACTGGGGATGTAGCTCAGTGATAACGTTTGCCTAGGTTCCAGATTCCGCTGGTGGGAGAATGTGCTTGGAAAATTGGGGGCTGGATTGTAAACTATCTTCAAAGTGAACCTAAGGAGAAACTGTATTCCATTCTGTAAGCAATAAGGATTCATAGAAGGGCTGAAGTCTTTTACTACTTATTTGTAGGAACAGACTTGGTCATGTAGGATGAGCTAAGTGAAGTGACCGTCTTTACTTAGACAATTGGCTAGGCGGAAGTGCCTCTCCCACCTCACTCACCTCACTGCTACCCTTCTGTAAAAGAGGCCTTTCTTGTGGTGCTCCAACTATGTCCTGTCTCCAGAGCACCCCTTTCAGCCCCAGGGAAAAGGGGAGCCCCTTTAACCTCCTCCTCTCAGATTCCTCAAGTTTAGTCAATGTCCTTCTACCTTAAGTCTCCTTTGCTGATTTACAATCCACAGGGCATTAGGTGAGTGCCAGCCTGAATGGGTTGGACAGTGCCTGTGGTTTGGCCAGGCATGATGCCTACAATTTTTCTGTCTCCAAAATTCTCCCCCTTCAACCAAGGCTAGCAGAAACGGAATAGAGAAACAGGGCCACAAAGCTTTACTATCTTGTCGTTCTCTTCTTATGCTGCTCCTCACCCACCCCCTGAAAGGTTAACCTGTCACCCCTGCCCACCCCACCCTCACCCCCACTACGTGTGTGCACACCACCATCAGCATCAGGTCAAGCCACAGCAATGTTGCCAAACACCCCACCGGGTTATGCAACCAGCTTCCCGAGAAGGGCTAGAAGGGCGGGGTGAGTAGAGGTGGAACCAGGGGAGGGCCATGGGTCCCCGCAGGGAACTGCCTGCTTTGCCTGCTTGCCTACTGGTCTGACCGCAGTGGCCCCAGAGGGCGGGGATAGCACTGGCCCTTTATCAGTGCCCAGCAGGGTTGCACCCGCCACCCCTTGGCTTCCTCTCTCAACAGACGGAAAGGGGAGGCAGCCACAGGGGGCAAAGGGAGGGCTGGGCGTTATCCTAAGCTGCAGAGACAGGCGGTTACCCCATGGGGGAGGTGGTGGAGGAGGTCTGGGACCAGGGAA